CACACACGTACACACGTACACACAGGCTGCTTAGCAACAAAGTACCCTGCGGATTAATATAGACATTTTATTTCATTTCCTTGTTTCACTTACTGAATAAGTAAACTGATAACACAGGGAGCAGTGGGGGATGGAGGGAAAATAGGACAAAAATAGGGCGGCTCCAGAGACCAACAATAGAAAAGGGCTCGGGTGTGACGCTGATGGTTTTTCAGTGGCAGTGTCACTGACCTCTTCAGGTTGACCATGGCCCAGGGGATTCCTGTGGGAGTGTTGAAGGCAGGAAGCAGCTTCTCGGCCAACTGGACCGCCTTCAGCTTGAAAACCTGGCAACAGACAAAAGCGGGTTGAGTCCACGACTGGTTACCTGTGAGAATATTGAGATGTCCATCCCTCCGCCTGCTTAATATTCTCCTCAAACCGCTGACAGGTACCAGCAGAAAACAACTGCCGAAACAAATGCAGGACGAAGGCAAATAAGGCAGAGTGAGATGACAGGAGACAGACGATTGCTAAATGATGGCTGCACAGTGTCAGAGCCCAACAGATTTATGGGGGAGACTGGCAGCCTAATATATGCAAAACCTCCCTTCACACTGCGCTGCAGTAATGTGAAATGTTGCAGAATACCGCGGAGATGTCTACGAGAAAAGCTCGGAGGTCAAACTGCATCAAATGAGCAGCGCCAGAGAACAAAGTACACAGTCAGAGTTGGATTTCTATTATCATGACTGGCGTCTAATTTATACAGAGTGATGTGGAGGGGAGGATGTGTTCGTTTGGAGATTACACAAGTTCTTGCACCCGTCTGACAGATGAAGGCCCGAGAAAATCTGCTGCAGCCCTTGTTCTTTTCTCAGTCTGCCAATCAGGAAGATGAAAAGACACTAAGGTTATGATGCCGCCGCACTAACTGGATCTGTGGCTGTGCCCGGAGCTTAGAACAGGAGTCGGATGAATGATGTGGAAAAACAAAAATTCACAATGTGATTCTAAGCAAAGAGTCAATACAAAAATAAAACAGTTTACCAAGTTGACTTTTCCATCATCCGAGTTAAAACTTCAATAAATCTACTTTTACCAAGAAAAGAAATAGAAACATGTTCATTCTTTTAGCCCACAAAAAATACTCACAGCATAAACTGCAAACCATTATGAAGGTCAACTAGACCAACCACGACATTAGCTGAGAGAGATGCATTCTGGGTTTTGAGTGTTGCCTGAAAACATGACAGTAATGAACCGCTGTGCTCAAGAAAGTCTGACTCCCAGTCGACACAACTGAAGCTTCACATCTCACAGAGCTGAGGCGCAGACACCAAAACCTCTGTGGACGAGCGGCGACAGTTTCCCACATCACGACAGCGACACAACACTCGGTGCTCCGTCGTGTCTTCTCCAACACTCAAGAAGTAGAACATTTGTACGTTTAAAACTTACTTATCGAGTCAACAGGAGACAGAAACTTTTTGTTTAGTTGTGCGGGTACACTGGGGGTCCCCCTGCAGGTGTGGGGGGGGTATAATTCACCACTGGCGTAAATACAAGTCTCAGTTGGAGCCTCCCCATGGACGATGGTGATCACGTGCCTTTGTTTTCAGGCAACGACCAGGTCGTCATCGGTCCTGCATCCTGTCGGTCTGATGTTTACTCTTGTTCAGTTTCTTACTCTGTCACTTTCTCCTCTTAGGCCATAAAACACCAAAGTTACATAACCGAAAAAAAAACAAACAGATTGTGTTGCTTCAAATTACAAAACACGACATTCTTCAACACCAGCAGCTGTGAAGCACAAAGGTCCACTTTGTTAGAAAACAACATTCAAAAGCAAAATGACTCAACAAATTTCAACTTGAACAAGTTTACTTAAGGACCGCTGTGGAATAAATACACAAAGAGGAAGTGGTTCAGCTCTCAGACGACAGTCAGGTGGAGCAGACCCACAGAGGACAGCACTTCAATACGAGGCAGGCACAGGCTGATTCATCAACACAATCTGTCAGGGCTGAGCAGTTTTATAGAGAGACCAGATCTATGGAAAATTCCTGCTGTCTCAGAGTAAGAGGGAGCAATAACACATGCTGCTGTTTGCAGAATTCTTAAGCAGCCAGTGGGACATCTCACGGAAGACTTAGAGGTCAAGCTGCGGAGTTAAACAAGAGACAAACACAGACTGAGACTCCGAGAGCGAGAGGATGGTGCAGTCAGATGCAGAGACGGACCTGACCATCGAGACATTATGAGAAAGTGCAAGAATGAGAGAGAAAGAAGAGAGCAAACTTTTGAGAGAGGGATGAAAGGGGATCAAAGAGAGAGAGAGAGAGAGAGAGAGATAGAAAGAAGCCTGATGCCGAGAGGTGATGACACAATGATGGAAAACTCCAGAGAATCATTCCTGAGGACAGATACAGGCAGAGCTGCACACGCACACAAGGATTTTCTTTTTTTAAATCAAACTTTCTTGAAATACTTCTATAAGAGCTGAAATTACATACATCTAAAGTACTAACACTGCGGGGAAGAATCTAGATGGCGGTAGAATTAAATCACCCGCCGTAGACCACAAGGACAGACGTGGACATTGACGTTAGCATTTACTTAACTAATCTAAAGATAAAACCTTAAATGGTCATTACAATGGAGTTCCCTCTGGTAGCCATGGAAACACATGTTCTCCCTCGTACAAGTTACGACTCGGCACAGAACACGAGCTGCGCTGCGGTCGGTTGACAAGCTAATGCTAGCACAGAGAACCTCCTTTTACAGATAATCGAAGTCAAACTCTGAGTAAAGTCAGAGCCAGAGTTCACGGATCCCTCCGAGGGAAGAGAAAACATGACGACACAAAATACCGACAGAATCATCACCGATTGCATATTCGCATCTCAGCTTGGAGAACATGTGACTCGCAGATAAGACGGTGTGTGTCGGGTTTTGTGTATCTGTGTGTGTCTGCCCAATCATCATGAACCCCTCCTTTGATTTGCGTCGCGCCCGGCCCCTAACAAACTCCATCGCCTTTTATTGTCAATCCCGCTGCTGATGTCATCAAGCAGGGACAGGATCCAAACGACCCATCAGAGCAGACAGCCGGCCGCCTTCGCCGATAAAAGGTTACAGTTTATGATCATCATCTTCCTCCTCCTCCGCCGCCGCCGCCGCCGCTTTCATCTGGAGGCAGCGATGAGAGAACCGGACGCTCTCAGGGAAATAGCAGCCGGGCCTTGTGAGGAAACGAGGCTTGTGTTGTTGGTTGTTAAAAGGAAGTAAACATGCTGAGAGAAGGAGGACAAGAGAGTCTGCTTCATTAGCGTCTCCACGTGTCCCTTGTCTCGTTTATATCACTCCAGAGCATCATCAGACCTACGAAGAGAGGCGCTCCATCTCTGCTCACTCAGCTGAGAGGGATGCTACACATGCTGCCTGCGGTAGGTTGGTTAATGGAACAACTTTCACAGACATTACAAAGCCATTAAAAAAAAAATCATTAAAATATAATGAAGTACTTTTCTTTGAATGTAGTGGATATGAGTGCAGTCTCCTCGTTTGACAGTTGTTTATATCAGATAGATGGAATTCTGGGATATCACGAGTCTTAATCCAGAGGTTACATTTGTTTGTTGGCTTCGTTTAGACGACCAAATAAAGACGGTCGGTAGGTCCAGTTTTTTCCTACTTTGATTTCAAAGATTAAATCTTCCTTTACATTTGAGGACTCGAGAGTCGTCCATGCCTTTCTCTCTTCACCACTGGGTTTCTGTAATGGTCTTTAAACAGAATCATTCAGGCTTCCCTCCTCCCCCCAATTAACTAAAGACTAATGTGCTTTGTAGCAGGAGCCCCAAACTCTTACAATCTGAGATTAGACTCCAGACATCTGTTCCTGCTTTTAAATCCCTTTTTAGAAAAACATGGATCTCTGTGTAAATTTGAATTTCTTTTATTTGAATTAATGATTGTTTGGTCCTTTGTAACTTTTAGAAAAATCCAACATAAACAAATAGAGCCCATTAGAATAATCATTGAGAAGTATTTGGTAGGACTGTAACTAATGATTCATTTCAGCATCATTTAATGCAGCACATCCATTGTTCGTTTTTTAATGTAAAAACATTTCAAAAATGTGAAAAGAACTATCACGATTTCCTGGAGCGCTGGAACATCGGACGACTAACTCATGAACTAAATAAACCCCAAGATTATCACATTTAAATAAATGCAGGACAAGTTTGTGTAACTTGGAAAGTTGCTGAAACAATGAATTGATTATAAAACCAGTAAAAACTGACTGAAGCAAATACTCATTGCACGGTAAGACAAAAACTGTATATTTGTATAAAGCTGACAAAATTCACACAAATAAAAACGGCAAGTGTAAATATTCCTTATCCTCATGAATATAAATTAATATAAAATAATATAAGATCTCGTTCTGCATCACATCCCATATTCTGGTTGCGGCTACAGGTTTTTATCTCTTTATATACAGTCTATGGTTTTTATTTGAAATAATAATATAAAAAAGTCCCAATAAAATTGACAACATCAGACATGGATTACCATCAAACAGGAAGAGCTTTGGCAACGTGGCCCTTCTGGAGCGTATACCTCATTTCATATTCCTCCTCCTGAATCAAAGTTATTCAACCTTCACTCTGGCAGTCTGTCCCATTCCACCAGTAACCACTGAGTTGTGAAATGTACCACGCTTAAATTGTCAACAAAACAAAAGTTACGCTTGTGTCCTTTTCCACCTTGACACTTCACCAAATCACTGCAGCGAAACAAACCACGAGGCCCGTGTGCGTCTGTACTGTTGACATTATATTCACTGTGGCAGGGAGACATATTTAAGGATATTGTGAGCTTTGAGCTAAAAAATCCTTGGGGAGGACGAGTCGGGACAGTTTGTCGTCTGGTCGTCCTCCCTCCAGGGCTGACAGCTTTAGTGTTCAGCCTTTTAAAATGCATCACAGCACACTTCAATATCGATCACTGGAGGATGTTCCCTCTCAGAGAACACACATACACACGCAAGCACGCACAGAGATTTCACACCGTCACAGTCCATCCAACAGAGAGCGCTGTTAAATGTGGACGTACATGCCAATACCCCAAACAATACATGTATTTACTTGACCTAAATGTTGATTAAATTGATTTTTTTTTTTTTAAAGAACACAGATGTAGTCTTTAATCTTATTATTATTATTTTCTATGAGCCTCTTAACCCAAATAATGAAAGTTAATGAGCTTAAATTACAGAGCGCTACTGGTTAATCTGTCGGCCGATAAAGACACAGCTGATATGATCAGTACGAGGGTT